AGCACTTATGTAATTTACTTTTCAACCTCAACAAATAGTAGCCTACATATGCAAAGAGGAATTGCAAATCAACTGTTTCAGAGAGGCCCAAACAGACACAAAAGCCTGCAAGTCATCTTAGCAGTCACAGTTTGAAACATCTACCTTCATAAGAGAACTAGAGTAATAAATCTGCTTACAATTTTAGCTTCCAACTCATCTGGGGTTTACAGATATTGACATGGCCCAAAATACACTTTATAATATTCTAGATCTAATAATCTTTTTTTTTACATGACTTGAATTAGTTTTTAATCAAGTCTGTAATAAAATCTTAAAACCATTCATCTTGCCATTTTCTGACGGAAATATGAAGGCTATTTACTTGGCTAGCATTTCCGTCAGCTTTGCAGAGAAAATAAGTTGAAGGTCCTCTAACAACTGAGCCATTAAGTAACTTGATAAAGAATATGAAAACGTCAGACGTCTCAATGCTTGGTCAGTCACAAGTTTCTAGTTCATCTCCTAAGGATCAAAATGAATTATGCTCATCACATTTAACTCAGTTCTGGTAGATGCCTGCAAATCTGATGTTACAGACACCAACACGTCAACACGCTTGGCCCGAAAGAAAAAAAAACCTAACTGCATATAGTTACTCCAGAAGCATAGTTTGGGGATCTATAAAAGTAGCTCAGCAGGGAGGGTAAATTAAATTACATTATGAAGCAGAAAATTATCTTACTAAAACATACCCGTTTCATTAAGCAAGGTATGGGGAGAAGTTTCTGCCAAATGACTAGTGCTACACTTTTTTAAATTATAACTTAGTCAGCTAGTTCAAGTGTTCCTACCCTGTCTTTCACACATAAGATACCTGCTATGGTACTTACATTTCTTTAAGATACTTTTGTCCATACACAATTTTATTTGCTAGTTGTTCTACTTTTTCTTGTGTCAAGTTATTTGTTACTGATTGCTGGAAAATTTCATGAAGAATTGTACCAATGAGTGTTTGGCGTGAACCAGACTCTGAGGCCTGAAACAGAGGTTATATAACACATTATCTATATACATGAAGATTTACACCTAATTCATGCTAATTTTTCTATAAAATTTCCAGTTTTTACTTGCTGCACATGATGGACCGCACTTATTTAATTGCAAGATCATTAGAGCTTTCACCTCGCTAACTAATACCTATTCAAACTGGACTGTGAAAACAGCCAAATTTAAATGTGTGTTTCCTATTGTTTCATCTCCCATTTTTAGCCCAACCCTGATAATGTTAGGATACAATCCCTATATGATTGACAGGTGAGAAACAAAGGCACAGATAAGAATTAATTTTAAGCAAGTTTTGCCTGTGGGCAGTATTAATAGCAGTATTTCCTAACCCAAATACTTGCCTTTGCAATCTTACAGATATTATTTTTTGCACAAACCAGTTTCCTCTGTGTTACCAACTCTCACAAAATTATTCCAAGTATCACCAAAATGGCTCAGAAACCCCTCTGATCATCATCAGGACTGGGCTCTGTAGACTCATGAGAATTTAAAGTGGTAGTAAGTTATGACCCCTGCACAAGCCACCACCAAACAACTGGAAATCTAATCATTGTGGTTTAATTACTTACTGGTATCTTTTACAGACTGGCACTTATGGGTTGCACTCGCAACTGGTGCGTGGTGTTACCCCAGGGTCAGGACTCTCTGCACTGTCCCTTCCAAATGATTAGCTTACTCCCATTACTCCTCTAATGAAGGGCTGACACCATTTTGCAGTCTTAATCTCCTCTTTCAGTCACAGGTTCCCAGCTAGCCTGCTCACCACTCTTCCCCATTTGAATTCTCTTCCCCATTTGAATTTATATTCCTACCATGTCGGGAAGTTTTCCACAGCTGAAACTTTTAGCTGTTGCTTCTCTGCCACCCACATATTAGCAAGGACACTACCACAAGAAACTTTTCCTCTTTCCAAATTCCAGCAGCTGAATTCAGATTCCCAACTTAGCCCACACCAGTTCTTAAGTGAATTGGCTGATTTTTTCAGAGACTTTTATCTTGGCCAAGTGTGGTTATGTTTTCATATGATCAACAAGAGGTATATCCCTCACACAGGATTCATATCCACACAAAACATGGCAAGACATTATAAAAAAAGTTGCCAGAATCTTAATTTGGAAGACCATTTCTTTGTTCCATTAGCTATATTAAGAATACAGGATTATTTCAGTCACAATTCTCAAAAAACACGGGTAGTTCAACCAGAGGTAGACAGTTTCCATTCTAAATTGTTCTATGTCGTAAATATAACGAATAATTAATAGTGACATTTTGCAATACAGCATCTCAGCCACTTTTAAAATTTAGCTAAACCTCTAGTCTCAATGGAACAGCAACCCATTAATACACTTGGCACTCTAGAATTAACACTTACCCTAAATCTTTCGCTCAGCACTGCTCTTCTCATACATCGAATACTATTTGATATCGTAGTGCCAGAAAGCAGCAGATCTGGGTAAAGGACCAGGTATCCAGACTGTTCATTTATGACCCAGGTACCGGAGCTGCGCTCCCCTTCTAAATGAATAATGTCTCCCGGAACAACTGGAACAGACTCCCTATAATGCAATACATTTGAAAAACCATTTGCAAGCTACAGACACGAGGTATTAGAAATTCGACATTAATATGTCAGATTCAACATACTTTGAAGCAGGTGGTTATCGTGGTTCTTTTTAAGAAGTTGACCTAAATAAATTCTGAAAGTGAATAAAGGAATTTTTACTGACAAAACTTCCATACTTTTGACTACTGGATTACACATCAGGACTGTTTGAATGCATGGAAATCCTGCAGACTTAAAGTCATTCCAGATCCATATATTGAGCCATTTCAGTATCGTTATGTTTTATATTGGGGTACTATTTTTTCATTACATGAGATCTACATTTTTACTTAACAAGTCTACTTGCTTCAGAAGCTCAGCAAAATCTAAAAATATTTTTATTGATTTGGAAATGTCAGGGCTCGAGACCTTTTTTATTTTTTCCTTCCAGTACTGAAGCCTCACGCTTTTCTCCCATCTTTCAGGCTTGCATGGAAAAGAAAAGCAGTGCCAAATACCATGTGCATGCCCATGTGTTTCAAAAGACTAAGCTAGTCTTTTCTTCTGTAACACACCGTGCAATGCACAAACACCTGAATTAGAATCCTAGCCTTACTTGAAAAAACTTCTGCAGTACAGCTCAGGCTAAGGTGATTTTAAGAGACTGTATAAAACCTCACATTTCAGACATAGCTTTGTACCTTTATATGTACAATGAGGACACATCGTTTAGAACACTTCTCATTGTTGCAAGACAACACTTAAACAAAATAGCCTACTAAAAGTTTATTGTCTTGCTGTTTGTTAGTACAAATTAAAACTTCAAGATAGCAATATCCACTCAACACAAGTTACACGACATCAGTTCTCCCGAGATGAATATCCATTACACCAATATACTGATAATATTACATTAGATAAAGGTTGTTACAGCATTTCATATCACTTTTAAGACAGCAAAACTCATCTCAAAGGCAATGCAAGCAAAATTGACTTAATAATCCAGTATTTCATCCTCTTTTCAGACATCTACATTTCTGTATGTATTACCAGCCATCCCTAAGAATGCACAGTTCTGTGTCGTCCAGTGACTGAGACGCTGTAAGGGTCAAGTGTTTCTCAGGATCACTTCCATTTCTCTGTATTATGCTGACTTCCAACACACGGTATCTGTTGTTCAACCCATTCCTAAGTATTGTGTCAGGGGAGCCAGACACTTTCTTCTGAAAACTGAAATAACAGCTCATTAATTAACACAAAGACATGACACTATTTCACTATTTGAAAAGAAAATGGCTAACTCATACACAAGAAGATGAAAAGTTTCTAGTATAAACACAACTTTTACCCTCTTCGGTTTTTATATACATTAAGTGTGGGGGTTTAGTTCTATACATGTAGAGCATAGGAAGTTTTCTCTCTGATAATGTTTCCGCTCTGTCTCTTTGGATGACAGGGATGAAAAAACAACAATTTGGACATGAAACATAAGGAAGGAGACATAAATATTAAGTAAATAGCTCTTTACTGCACGTAGTGCTTCCTTTTGGAGTCCATATATCCATATGCATTTAAAAGCTAGTTACAACCATACTGCAACCCTGTACTCGTGAGAAAGCTTGGGTCCTTGAACACCGCAAACAAAGCACGTAAGAATCCCCACAATCACACGATCAGCAAACACGGAGAACTAACTTTCCCCCCGCCACTTAACTTCAACATAATTAGAAGGTTCAGTTTTCAAGTAGCCAGCGGCCAAATTTCCAGATGGAGCGGCCAGGCCAGCCCGACAACCCCGACACCAAGCGCCACCGGCTCCCGGCGCCTGCAGCCCGCGCTACCCACCGCAACTCGCTGAGCAGCGGCGGCTCCCCCCCCCCCCCGTTACCCCGGGGCAGCCCCTCAGCAGCCCTTTCCCGCCTTCCCGCCACCGGGGCCGGAGAGGCGCGAAGCGGACGGGTAACTTCAAATTGCAAACCGCGACCCGCGCTCGCGGCCGCCTCCGCCCGCTTTGTTCTCGACCGCCAGCGCTACCTCTCCGCCATGAACGGCTCGCCCTGCCCCAGCTCCACCACCAGCCCAGGCGGCAACCCAGACCCGCCGCGAGCACACAAGTAAATGGGGACACCCCCTCCTCAGCCGGGCGCCTCACAACACCCACCACCCCCCCACACACTAAATCCCGCCAGGGCGCATGCGCAGTGCAGCCACACTCCCCGCCCATCTCCCGGGAAACCCCGCCCCTCACCCTTCCCAGCTCGGCCACTGGCTGAGAAAGAGTTAGCGCAGCCAATGGGGGTGCCGGGAGGGAGGTTCTCCGCCGGGGCGGGTCGAGGCGCGAGCTTTTCCCGCGCGCGGCTCCCCGCAGCCGCTGCCGGGGGGGCGGGGCCCGCTCCCTGAGGGAGCCCAACGGCCTCCCGGCGCCGGTAACGGCAACTCTCGGCCCGAGCTGTCGTTTACTCGCACAGCAGCCAGTGCTGTCGCAACCGTGGTCCCTCTTACGATTCAAGTGCAGTAGCGCGAGGTAAATTTAGGTGCGCCTTTTGCTCTCGCCTGCTGATGGGTGAATCTCAGCCCGATAGTCAAACTTTCTCTCTGGTAAGAACCAGTTTCGTTCGGTGGTCCTCATTGGCAAGCTTTCAGAGGTCACAAAGAAGTTTCAGATACACAGATTTCCTTTCCTTGCCTTTTTTTTTTTTACCACAAACCCACTACATCAGCAAAGCGTTCTGGATCACAGACCATCACTTCTACCAATTAATGGACACAGGTATTAAGTATATTAATACATCACTGTATAACTCTTCTGTAATTTAAATGTCAGGAAAATGGTGCATTAAGAGTTTTGTCTCATTATCTCTTTAATGTAGCCAGACATTGGGAAACTATGAGGCTCTAGTCCTGTGAAGAGGACAGTTTTGGCCAATGGTTAGACATCAGAACAGAAGGATCAAATCTTGAATTTTAAAAGGTGAGAACATATTTAAATTATCCCCTTTACTTTTCTTTGGGATAGTCCTGAAATACATGCAGTAAACTACATTAATGTTGCTTTCCATTGCAGAACCTCTAATATAACCTTACTTGTGATTGAACTGTTATGTGTCAATACTACTAAATGCAGTCACATAATTTGATCTGGTATTAGAAGAGATTACATACTTTGTGTTCAGTAGTCTCATGTTGCCTATACATCTCTCATACACTAAAAGATAAGTATCTTAACAGATTATGGTTATAAAAGTACAAAATAGGCTTTAAGTATTTTTTGAAGATAGCTAAAATCCAAGCAGTCCAGGGAGCCTCTACAGAGAGTCTGTGAAATCCAGGAAAATACCAAACTTTACTTTAGTACCCAAAGTTGCACTGAAGTGTTCAGACTATAGCTCTTTTGATTCTTTCTCACATCAGTGGTTGAAAATAATATTCTTACAATTTTAAGACACATCAATGTTCTCCAGCAAGTTTGTACTGTGTAAATTCAGGAACTTACTGTAAAAAATTTATTATCCCAAGATAATGAAATTTGTTCCTTCCAAACATGTAACAAACAGGGAGTTAACTATCTATACTTAGAAACATTTAACATGCTCTATATGCCCCGGTTTAATCAGGGAAATGTATGAGTGGAACCTACAGCTGTGTCTACCCCAGCAACTACCTCAGTAATATATATTTCCCTGCTGCATTGTATCTAGTCCATCTACCCTGGCTGAGTAAGAGGTCAAACAGCAGCCAAAGGTGCAAATATCAGAATAAATCAGTATAAATTAGCCACAAGGAAACCCGTCTAGCTTGCTGAACAGATTTACTATGTAACTGTGCTAGCACTGTGGCAGAAGAACAGGTCAGATCCTGCCAACAGACCTTGGAAAAAGGAGAGTAAGAGCCTGAATGAGCCTCAAATGAGCCTGAAGCACCCTGGAATCCACTCTGAGGATGCTCAGGGGGCAGCCTGTCACATCACTAAAGCAGAGATCTCCAAGCTGAACACTCACTCGCCCTAACTGCGCAGAATAAGGACACAGTTAAGGACCAAGCACAGAGATCTTTTCTTTTATACCTGTTGGAATTGAATAAATATAGTTGTTTTGAGTTGCAAACATAAAAGAAGGCTTATAACAAGTGCCTTGCACACTCCTTTTTCAAGCAAGGAAAGGAGGAATTTGACAAGTGTCAGCCGAATTTGTCCACCTTGAGGTCTCAGCTCATTTAAAAGAGCAACAAAAAAAAAAAAAATTCAGAGGATATTAGTAATGAAATTAATAAAGACATTGATATTAACCAGTGTAAAAAAAATGTTCAAATACATTAAATTTTTCTGTGTAATGACTGCAAACTGGGCTATTGGTCATACATAAATGCCTTAGTTACAGCAGACAAAATCTTCAACTGTAAGAATGTGGAGATGAAGGGAGTCATTTTAAAGACATGATGTTTAGTCACTGGAAAGAAACCCCCCAAGACTCAGATTTTCAAGACATATCATGAAGAAGCCTGTGTGAAAGTCTCTCACCTGAAGGAGTCCTAAAATGGCAAAGCTCTCTTTTCTACCTTTATGTCAAACTGCATTGGAAATAGGTGGATTTAACAGAGATTAAAAATACTGAGGCTACATAACCAGTTCTTCACAAAATAATTACTTTACTGGATAGAACTATTAGTTATGAGATTATTATGATACAAATGTTTAGGAAATAAAGGCAAAAACATATCCAGGCTCCTTCCAGTTGCTGAAAAAGTAAACAGAAAAAACTAATTAGGAAGTATGTGATTAAGGCATAGAAATGAGCTTGGCTGGAGCCTAATCATGTACTTTTTACTGGCTAAAATTTGATGTTGCTTGTTCAGTACACTGAAAATACTGAAGAGTCAGAAAAGAAAAAGCAAGAGAATAAATCCCTCAGTGGTTCAAAATGAAAATAAACCCAATTTTTATAGCACTGTCACTGCAGAAAGAAAGAGGACTTACAATTAAGTCCTATGTTTCCACTGTGGTAGTCAGCTACTCTAAATAAATGCACTGTCCTAACAAAATAAGAAATACCTGAATAGGCTTTCCAGAAAGAGACAGAAATAGCCACCCCACCCCCCCAAAAAAAAAAAATTAGAAACTGCAGTCTCCTCCCATCTAGCCCCTGGACAAAAGTACTTTTATTTCCTAGACCTTGCTCAAAAGTATTAAAATACTTCCAACTTCTGAATTATTCATACACTTTTAAATTTTATTTTTAAAACCTAATCCTGAAAATACAACACAGTTTCATCCAGTAGGTCTGTTTTTCACATTCAATATCCTACTCATTTATTTAGTGGATACTTTTTACTGATCTTCTCCTCTTAGGCGTGAATATGCTGGATTCTGCTTTAATCTGCGTAAGAACTTTTCATGACACAGCTCAAACCTATTTGAGTTCCTCAAATATATCACTTTTAGTAAAATTAAGATGCAAATCTCTAAATTTCAACCTCCTTAACAGTATTAACATGGCAACGAACTGGCACCTGAGAAAATGCCTATTTGCTCACACAGTAAAACACTACAGGAAAGAAAAATGGCACTTTTTATTTTAATACAGTGGATTTAGCTGTACTGCAAGGACTTTAGAAGATAAAAATTCACTATGATATTAGTTAGTTTTCTTTTAAGTGAAACTAAAGATCAGACAAAAAAAAAATTCTTATTTGTTGTCTCTTAATTAAGAATTTCAATGTTACACAGATTCATCTGCAAGGGTAAACATACAGATAATTCCAGAAACATGCATTCTTTCTGGCTTCAGCACATACAAATCACACAAAGACATCAATTCAAAATTTTTAATAAAATAAATTCAAATACATCTCATTCTCTGTCCATAACTGCATTGTTAAATATCAAAGAAATACATACTTTTAAGAAATTGGAAAAGAAAAATTTGGGCCACAAAAGTTGGTATTGAATATATAACTCAAAATCCAGTTTGTCAAATTTGTCAAAATTAAACAAATCGATCTTACCATCCACCACTTAACATAGCCATTACCAATTCTTAAAAGACACTGCTAAAATATTTACAATAAATAAATAACTTACATCACTTAAAGTAAATGCTTTACAGTTTCCTGAATCAAGTGAGTAAAATCAAGAGTACCAATGCAAATCTTGTTTATACAAGTCTGGAAAATAATTCCTTCTACAAAGGAATGGCAGGAGAAGGAAAACATGTAATAGTCTATTGCATACCATACTTTAGAAACAGTACATACACACATCTACAGATTCCAATACAAACTTCATTTTCTTTTCTTGCACGAGGTTGAATATGGTCCATATGCCTAAATAAGTAAATGCAGCAGCATGCAGTCTTGTTTGTCACCATGTTTTAAGGTAGGGACTAACCTGTTTACACAAGCTAGTACTGGAAAGTACATTAAATACTCAGTCGTCAATAAACTGAATTGAGAACATTCAGTTCCACAGAAAAGACTAGACCATTCTAATTGCCTTAAGGAGATCTTCTCTAGCACTAGTAAAAACTTCCCCTGGTTTTATTTGTGTAGATATAGCGTTTTTCTAATAGAATGTATGCCAAGAAATCCGTTTCCAAATCGCAACATTACTAATAACATTAAATACCTCTTGTCATTTTGTATTGAAATGGTTGAAGAGACTTTCATATGTACCAATCTGGAGATACATGCATTGTTCTTGCATACAGAAAACTTGTACAAAAAAAGAATGAAAAGATGTTTAAGTTGTGGTCTTCTGAGTTCAGCTTCTACAGAGCTGGCAAGTATTTGAATATGAAAATCATTGCATTTTGTTCAAATCAGTTTATTCAATTTCATTTTTGAAGAACAACAGATGTCTAACTACTAGCTTAAAAAGCAGTATAACCATGTGTATAACTCCTGGAATGGTGATAAAGCTAAATAACTAACAGCTTGAAACCCGTATAAAATATGGGTGCAATTTTAAGACTGTAATTCTTAACATTAATCTAATGAAGCCTAGAAGATCAAGTACAAAAAAATGTTTATAGCTAACTAATGTTTATTTTGATCTGTCTCCTGGTTGGACTCCAGGAAATTAACCACATTTTGGCAAATAAAAATGTCAGACAACAGCAGTTCCACAGTAACAGATAGCTTTTTTGTTTTTTTTTTTTTTTTTCAACTTCAAGTAATTTCCTCAGCAATACAATTTGAGGACTGATAGTGTAGTTTTACAGGAAAGTCTTCTTAAAAAAAAATTAGTTGAGGTGCAAGAATTGTTTCATAAGTTCATATGTGGTAAAAGCCACAGCCTGGGAAGGAATACAACGAATGTAATTCAGAGATAAACCACGGTATAATCCTCTTCGTATTCCGTATTGTTGATACACATATTTCAGTGTCTGCACCATTGTACTGAAAAAATAAGAACTCAGATCATTATTGCATTCACATCTTCAATAGCCAAAGTCACTTTCTTTTAAATACAAGTCACTGTTTTACTTGGTTTTTAAGAGATCTATGGAGAAAACCCCACGGTACTCCACAGAGCAGAGCATTATAGTCTTTTTAGGACTCAGAAAACAGTCTGAGCTTCTGCAAGAAATCTGGGCCTCAAGGCTGGGAACTGGAAAGAGGATAGTGCAATTCCATTTAAAGAAGTTTCAGTCTGAAAATACCTGCCCTAAAAGCCATATTATGACATTTTACATCAGCATGGCTATGCATATTCTGTTGCCTGTCTGACAGGAAGGAGTTGAGAAGCATCAATTCTTCTTACAAATGTAATCCTGAGGAACAAAAACATCATGTACCCAATGTAGCACACACTTCTTGCACTGGAGATCAGCATTTAGGCTTGTATCCTATTCTCTTTCTTTGAGCACTTGATCATACTACCCGTCCTTCTAAAGCTTTGCATATAAAATTTACATTTAGCACTGTATTTTATGTCTTGCATGTGTGTAGCTTCCTCTACCATGACAAAGACCTAGTATTCCCTCAAAGAGAAATGCTAGAATTTATGTGAAGTATATAATATTTGACTTTAATAAAAGCAGAATTTGCAGTGTATATGCAAGGAGAACATTAAATGCAAAGCCATGTAAAAATCAAAGGTGCTCAGTATTTCCAAGCTATTAAAGACACTGCTCTTTGAGAACAGCTTCCATATGCCTCAAAGCCCCGAGATTTCCTACTTGCTTTATCCTCTCATCCTCTAAAGACATATATGTCTACTCTCCTTCAAGGTGCAGCTCTCAGACATGGTCACAACAATATTGTTAAGTTAGGAACCCTAACGTCTATAAAAATAATTCTCACAAATGCAGAAAGTAAACCCCCAAGAACAATTAACACATTTTTAAAGTATCTGGCATGGAAAATAGCCAAGCAGAAAAAAAGAAAAAAAAAAAAAAAGCCAGCAGTAACGCTCCTAAGGAAAACAGAACAGCGACTTTCACAGAAAGCAACATCCAGGTTGTTTAAGGAAGGTCACTGACTACTGTTAGTGAGATCCAATTTGCCCCGCAGGACGTTTGCACTTAACCACACTGCATTCAGACATGCACAATTCCACAAGATTGAAAGCAACCAAGATAAAGCTGTTCTGGAATTGAATTTGGTTGAGGCGATTTGAAATTCATAAAGTTTTTCAAGATGAGAGCGGATTTAATACTATGATTTTAAGGACATTATGGTACTTCCTCATCCACTGGATGAACCCCAACTACGTGTGGGACACTACCATAAATTTAAGAAAAGTCAAATATAACAGTATTATGCAAAATCATCTTATGGAACCAATTCTGCATCATTAAAATCACTTTGAAACATTTCATTTCAGTAGAAGCATACAATCTCTCTCTTAGAGATCCTGCTGCTATTAAAGAAAGACACTGCAAATCGAGTTAAAATACAAGAAAAATATGTTACTAATAAAACCACAGTACTAATGACAAAAGTGCCATTGTGACTTCAGTTATGTTTTTGAGCCTCAGAGTGGTAAAGGCAGCTTTTGTCTGTGTGGAAACTTAGTCATTAAAACAATGAAGAAATCAACAACAAAGTAGTTTGGGGTTTGTTTAGGTTTTTTAAAACTTTAAGAATTTAACTCTTCTCAGGTGTCTAAGATTTCAGTTGTTACGGATGAAAAGAAAATACTTACAGGCACTTTTCAGAGTCTGGGAGAACCGCTCCTAACTGCATTCGCCTACGAGTTACATCAAGGGGATATCTACAGAGGAGATATTTGAACAGCAGTTCAACCAGATGTGTGATGACTGTATGCATGTAGTTTAAAAAAGAACACAAAGAAGTCCATGTGCAACATCCAAGCTCCCTTTTCAATGAGTCAGGAATCCAGCTCAAGATTCTCAACACAGCTGAAAATTCTCCAGAAAGGGAGATTTCCCCTATACAACCAAAACCAGCAAATCAGATCTCTTAATATATTCCATTTGGCACGAGTAAGGAAGACACATGAAGATCAGATGAGAGTATAAAACAGTCTGTAAAACGCTGGAGGGAGAAAACACCTGAATTGAAAATAAAATTAACAGTTCAAGGATTAATAGAAAATTACATTTGTAATGCAGTGATTTAGTGAAAAAATGATGCCATTTAAGTCCATTAAATTATTTTATGGACAAAATAAAATATGACAGAACAGCATGAGAATGGAGAAAGCAGGCAAGGTAATAAAAAAAAATAATGCCAAATACAATATCTAAGACATTTGGGGTTTTGTTTTGTTTTAATTCTATGGCTTCACTGTTTACATTGTTTTGAAAATAAATTGGAATAATAAAATTCTGCAAATTATGTTCATGGTCAAAATTTCATAGCTTACCAAACAAGATTCCAACTGATTTTAGGAGATCTGTCTGAATTTCTTTAATCAACTCAATATATATAACTTTAAAGACCCTGAAGATTAAATAGATATTTACTAAATGAAACAATAGGAAATAACTGAATTCCAGTGTCTGATTAACCTGATTTAAAAACTAATAACTAGACTTACATAAAACTATATTCTCAGATAAAAGGTTCTTTAAACAGCTGTATATATAAAAAAAAAAAAAAAGTAAAATAAAAAACCACAATACCCAAACTTACGATATCGTCTGAGCTATTGCTCCAGCTATGCCACCACACAGCAGATTTACATGTGTTTTCAAAACTAAGACATCGGGATTATCTAATGAAGGCCGTCCAAGCAAGTTAGGTGCTTGAGCAAGTCCAATGCTCTTTAAGGTACCAAAGGTAAAAAATGAAAAACCTAAAAGGAAATTTAATTTTATGTACTTTCATAAAAAAGCAAACTATTTGTCGATGCATCATTATCATAAGCAAAAAGCTTCAATTACAAAATGAAACTATATTCCAAATCTTTTAGAAGTTTTTCTTAGGCAGAAAGAAACAGACAAATAATATTTTGACCTTCTACAGTAACTTCTGTCCAAATGAATCAGTGTTTATAATTCACATTAAAAGAATGTTTTAAATAAGATAGTCTGTGGGTTTTAAATTACTGGGTTGCTGTTAAGAGTAACTCTTAAGATATTTTCAGCTGAAGAACAACTTTCATGTTTTAAATATAAGTGTAGTCTGGCTGGGCAGTTCTGATGTGCCTCCAACCCACGTCACCCACTGCTTTAACTTGTGTAAGTATTCACATAAAAGTCACCAGGAGATGGAGCCAATGCAGAGGCTCTAAGTCTCCATCTACAGAGCGCTCTGCTCTCTCATCCATATACCTATTTGAGAGAAATATCCTACATGCTTTGCTGGGGGAAAACCGGATGCAGAAGAGAAAGAATCACTACTTTACACCTCTCCCTCTCAACTTCAAGTTTCAGAAAAGCTAGGCTTTGCCTACTAAAGACGCTTTAACACACATTGATCGATTCTAAATTAAGATAGAAGAGTTGCAAATGCTTATACTGGCCTCCCCTCTCCATTCAGTAAATAACAGAATCCTTGATTTGAACAGAAGCTAATTAACTACACGTGCAAATATATTACGTAAATTTAGTAGCGCACATAACTGCTGAAGGACTGCCACGTCCTGTTGTTAACTTACCCGCGTATGGCGCCATTCCTACAACAGTTGGCATCAGCCCTCTGTAGAACCCCCTAAAACCACCTTCCTTTGAAAGAAAAATACAAGTACGTTTGCGGCAAGAAATACAACAAATGTCTTAACAAGTTATAAGACTGTTCATACAGATTCACGTGACAGCAGTCTGACTAGCATCATCTAGCACCAAGGAGCTAACATCAGTTTCCATTTCTTGTGCCTGAAGATTGAAGGGACAACTGCCTGGCTCCATAGGAGATAAAAAAGTGAAAACGGAGGAGAAAAATCTATATTCAAAATAGTAATCTAGGAGACATTCTACATTATACATATCCCTCCTCCCCAAATTTTTTTGTATCATTAGCACTTGTTCTTGAAAAGCAACTTCTCTCTGCTGTTTTTGACCTCCCACATACGTAAGTCTTAGCTACATCTCAGCAGCCTAAGTAGAAGGAAGCATCCAGATAGTTTTTTACATTAAAAAAATTCAATGTGCACGCGATGAAGTCATGTTATTTTCCATCAGGCTACTATTTTCAATGCAGTGCGACATTCTTTAAAGAGCATATTTTGCTTTGACAGGACTGAAGATTAAAAGAAAAAATACCTTTGTGTAAATCATCTTGAATGCATGGATAATTCCCATGTACTTGTGTTCCCCTTTTACTTGGAACGCCAGACGAACTCTAACCATATCAAGAGGGTAAGTACAAATCACTGCTGTAATACCTTTATTAAAAACAAAAACAAAACAAGCAAACAAAACTCACCTACACCTTATCTGATTCTAGAATTATTGTGAAAATCAAAATTTCTTTTTGTGGCAGTGAATATAATAGCATATACAAATTATTTTGTGAAAGAAACACTTAAAGTCACCTATAATTAGCAAATAGGAACAGTAACTTCAGCAACACACAAAGAATTTACGTTTATACTTGGTGTTCACTGAAGCTGCACACCTAGGCCTTGCTTTTTCAAAGAGTTATGAGCCTAAGAGTATTCAAATGAGCAATCTTCTTTAAGTCCATGGCTCATACCCATCAGGCCAGTCAAGTGCATCAGCTTTACTGGACTGCAACCATGAAACCTAATCCTACCATATCTTAAAAAAAAAAAAAAAAAAAACAACAAAAAAAAAAACAACACCAAAACCCACCAAATTTATATGTTTAATTTCAAAAAGGTTTTGTCAGAATTTGATGTGATTACCGGATATAGATACATGTATCTATTGACTGCATCTGAAAATACCAAATATATTCTAATAACATTTAAAATAGGACAAAGGGTAATGTAACAGTTTTAAACTGAAAGAGGGCAGATATAGATTAGATATACAGGAGAAATTCTTCCCTGTGCGGGAGGTGAGGCCCTGGCCCAGGGTGCCCAGAGCAGCTGTGGGTGCCCCCTCCCTGGAAGGGTTCAAGGCCAGGTTGGACGGGGCTGGGAGCACCCTGGGCTGGGGGAAAGGGGTCCCTGCCCATGGCAGGAGGGCTAGGACTAGATGAGCTTTAAGGTCCTTTCCAACCCAAACCCATCTGTCATTCTATGAAAATAAAGTTAGGATCATACTGATCAAGAGTACTTAACCGCATTGCATTACTGCATTTTAATAGTTTGCCTTATACTAGCACTTCTGGTTTAAAACTCTGACCAAAAAAGTTACTTCTAGATTTAATATGCAAAAAAAAAAAAATAAAAAAATCAAGTATTGGGATTCATCCAGTTACAAACTACTTCAAAACTGATTAGATACTGACCAACTTGTAATTTTGGAAACAGAACTCCAGTGCAGAGAACAACTCCCCTAACAGTTACCTGAATAACAAACTATTTCGTACTGCTAACTTTTGAGGTAAACCACTCAGTTACTGACAAATGATTTGGAGGGAATAGTTAAACCTGTTTACTAAAAACAGAGGTAATTTTCTAGTGGTATACCACCATCAATATAAAATAAAATACTGGGAAAAGGAGAAAAAAGCAAAAACCTTCGTGACTGTTTTTCTACCAGCTGCTCTGATTTAGTTAAACATCACCCTTAAAAATTGGTCCTACAGAAGAGAAGCACACTTTTTATGCTGACAGGAAATTGCCACTTCCTCTTAAGTTTTAATAGTGTCTTAATGATATCTCTTTTTGTAGGTGTATCATATCCCCTCCTTTCCACAAAGTCAGAAGAAAACCACAACAGGGAAGGGCAAAAAAAAAAAAAAAAAAAAAAAACCCAAACACAACACAACTCCAGCAAACAAACTCTTCATAACTTTTATGTCTGGAGAGAAAAAAAAGCAACCTTTGCAAGCTGAGTGATTTGGTAGATGAGATCATGATTAGATGGGGAGGGAAAAAAAAAACAAAACAACAACAAAAACAAAAACATTAACACCTTAAGTGGGCTAAAAAGCTGACACTGGTCAACTGTCAACTGAGAGTAAAGTTTGTGGCATTTTGGAGTATCCTACCAGTAATTTATTTTAGAAGACAAAAACATCTCTGTCAGGGATTTTGGACAATTCCTCTGAACAAAAAGGAGACATCTGCAGTTGATTTCTGATGTTGTCTCACCCATAGGGTTCAAAAGTTGGAAGCTGCAAAACATCAGAGCAACTTTAGGACTTTCCACTGACCTACATCATTAAAGGCAATCCCTCAGACTACAGCCTTTTCCTAATGGATTGCCTGAGATGTCCAGAAATGTTGTAAAATGTATGAATTCAAGCAGTTTAGAAAAAACTAAAATAGAGGGGGAAAAAAGCTTTTACAGCGCTTAAGAGTTCACAGGAAAGTCATCCCACTTCAGAAAAGAAGCAAATTTATCCCCCCTTCTCTTTCCAGTTATGCACTGCTATGCATCCAGGAATATTCTCTGAACAAAGACTAGCAAACAGACCAACCAAGAGCTTGTCCAACAATCAAACGATTGAAAAAAAAAAAAAAATCAGATGTAACTGAAAGAAACCGTATGTAGTAAGGATTTAAATGGATCTTTTTTCTTTTTAGTTTTTGTTAAAATCCTCTAGCCATGAATTCTGAAAAAAAATGGGATTCCTAACATCAGCCACAAAATACACTTTCTCAAAGAAAGGAAGAGGTATGTTACTGTTTACTGTTCATATAAGCAAAATGTACATACAAGGGATCAAGATTTCCTTTGGGGCTCAGAAGACACACTGTCCTTTCTGGGAGAAGTGGTGGCCAGCTTTGGGACACAAAACCATTGTGGTGAAGTGTACAAAATTACTAACCTCCTCTCCACTCCCTAATTATCATGAGTTATCGGAAGTCAGACTATAGCATCTTAAAGCTGATACTCTGTCTTGAGGAAGCAAAGTCTATACCAAATAATGAAAGCTGAGCCAAAACTGTCTCCCATGGTTGGTTAAACAGGACAGAATCGGAACTATTTCAACAGTTAAAAGATACATGCTGCAATTCCCAGTGTCTGATGTGAAATAATCATAATAGGGCAATGTAGCTCCTCCCTCCTTTAAGGAACCACTTCTTCAAAAACAGCAGACGTTTCCTCTACAAATGCTGACTCAGAAGTCAAGAAAATCAGGGAGAGACCATTCTTCGCTTGCCATATTGTCTTCAACCACCTTTGACCACTCTTGAGGACAAGGTACTGGGTTACACAGACCTTTACAGAGACTTAATGTCAATGAAGCACAACAGGAATTAGACTGTCCTTGATTGTCTTCCCAGGCTTTGGGAGTTAACAATGAGATTAGCTGTATAGGGACTTATCTCTGTCTCCCAACTTCCCTACTATTCCTCCATCCTTTTCTTTGAAAATAAAAAGAAAACCCAACGTCTGAAGCAAGAAAAAAACCCAACTGAGGTACATTTACAAAGGTCAGGTACTGCAAACATATCTGATACACAAGTTTTTACGATTTCTGTATCATGCTCTTTGTACTTTATCAATGACTATGTAGATCAAACTAAGTACTACCAGGTAATTCAGAGGTATACAGTTCAAAAAGTGATAAGCACAAGTCACAGCCTTGAACTGCAGAAGATATGTTCCTTAACTAGTATAAAGATTAATCTATCAAGGAGGCATCTTCCAAACAAAACAGCTTCAGGAACTATACATACAGAGAAATAGCTGATGACAAAGACTATACATCAGACAAGTTAAAGAACTGCCTAGTTTACAACTCCTAATGTATCTAGACATCCAGTACATAATTCTGTTTCTTTACAAATTGCACCTGAAGAAATAAACAGCACAGATTCTTTTAAAATGTTGACTCAAATAGGTAACTGTTAAATACATACTAGTTAAAACTGAGACAGTCAGAATCCTCCTAGATCAGTACTCTCTTCCAATCACTTTTACTAAAAGATAAAACCACGCTTTCTGTATTAGTTTCATGGAACTTGAGTTTAGAATAAACATCTAGTCTTTTTTGGCTTCTTTTAAGTTAATCAAGTGCAGGGGAGGAAATACACATTTCTGTGTTTTAATTCAGATTTTTCAATTCGAAAACTAAAACCCCATTTAGATTTGCAAAATCATCCTCTGATACAGGTGTTACTTGATCGTTTTGTTTCCTACACCCCACTAAACTCTATGATTTCTCTATCTTCTCCCCAGCTCTGTCTTTCCTTAAAAGAAGTTATTCACCATTTATCTGTTAATGAGGTGTTACAGCTGAAATTTGAATCACACAAGACTCAGGAAATTCAGAGTTAAAGTTTCCACAGTAACTTTAACTTGGTCTCCTTAAATACATGCATTACAATAGGTTTTTCTTTCCTCTCACTCGGCTACCCCCATCCTCATTGCCTTGTCTTTCCCTGTGGTTATGCTTTTGATCCTGTTTATCAGTTACAGAAGATACTCAAATGTTTCCCACCACTTTGAAGCGGAATCAGGTCCGCTGACTGCTAGCAATGTTGGAAACACTGACATAAGCAAGATTTAAGTATCAGTAGGGTACGCAGAAGTGAAAGCAGACAGCTGTGTGGCTAAATGGTGTAGAGGGGACAAAAAGGACAGTGAAACAAGGGTTATGCATTTTCAACTGCATATTGGGTTCCAGGAACCTGTGAAGACCCTTCTCCACCAACATTAGGGTGCATGCAGCACACTGTCTCCTTTAAACATTTAAACTTGGAAGAAGCAAAACACTATCCCTCATTGGATCCCGCAACAGTCTAAGCCATAGGAGTTAAAACAATTTTTACCAAATGCTTTTAAAAGTCTCTAATTTTGTTTGCAAATCTAGAGAACTTCTGTATCAGATTTCCAACTCTACACTCTTCTTAGTGCCTCCTTCCTCCTCTGTATCTTCTTGGCATACTCAATATAAACCCTCCCCTCTCATTGATCTAATTAATATCCCAAAAAGCAGTTAATGCCACCTACTAAACAAATTGTATGACACTCACAAGTGATACTATTATTATATCTGACTGCTATGTTCATTTCACTGCACACCTAAATTGAGCTCATGTACTCAGTTTTGGAGTTCTCAATAGCACACTACTGAGTATACTGTACTTAAATGCACCACACAAAGCATTTCATTTGATCATGCTTTCCAGGTGGTAATGTATATGTATTTTATCTGTTACTCTAGCCAGACAAAACAGATTTAACCAGTAAGGTGCTTAAAATGATGCCAGATGCAATTTATCTACGCAAAGAATTCCAACACGTCCAACGCTGACAAAGTTAAGCTGATTATTCAATGTTTTCACAGTGCCTCACAAGGCAGGTTCCAGGTCTCTGATAAGGCTCTGAAAAAGCTAATAATAAGCTTTTGGGGGGGCGGGGGGGGGGGGAAATGAAAGTGTTCTTTAGTACAGTTAAAGCTGGAGGGAAAGAAAGAAAAAAAGGAAACAAACAAACAAACAAATCTATGTATTTTTTCCACTTCTTTCAGATAGAAAGCCAGCCAAGTTCTAGAACCTATCTTGCCAATGTGGATTTTGCCAGTCTTTAGGATCTTTGAATGGTTTCATTTCATTCTCTTTCCTTTTCCTCTGATGGCATGCAAAGCCAAAATACTTTCATGGAGTCTTCCTAGTTTAACTAAAGGTAGTATTAACAAACCCCATTATTTTTGTTCCAAAAGAAGCTAAACATTAATACTCCTGTCATAAGGACTGTCACTAGATGGTATTAAGCCTGTTTTACAAAGCAAAAGCACATGAAGAACCACCTCGATTAAGAATCAGTCCAGTATTACTTACCTGCCCCTATTATTTCTGAGCTACTTTCAGCTGAATGACTAGCAAGAAAACAGAAATGTATAATCATGCTATATACTGCCAGTTTATAAGTTGGTTTTTCTACTGCTAGTGCACTAACTGATAAATGATGTGTTTTAACATTCATACATGTGAGCTAAAGAGTATCGTGACAATCCTGCATCAGATGTTGAACAGTATAGTCATTTCTGGCAAATCCAAAGAATCTGCCCATTTGAGGAGCTGCAGTTCTCTACTTCTACAGGCTTATATTCAACCTAGTAGCAATGGCAGACAGGCTGACAAACCAATTCTGCTAAAACCTGCATCTTTATACCTCAACTTGATGACACGGGATTTTTCACTTTTTAAAAGCCATAATAAACAGTATAAAAACTGTGCTTTAGAATATTGCACAGAATTCAATGCTTCAACAAATATATTTTAAAGAATGTTCTTAGACAACCAGTTTTCAATTAAGCAACTATTTGTTACATTAACCATTTACTAGTATTTTTGCTTAATACAAATTTGAAACAGGTTGACCTGAAAACACATCAAATCATCCTCTAAACAAATATTAACTCTTCAGCAAGGGGGATGTCTGAAATCCAAATGCAAAACTTTACCTGCCATGGATCCAGCCATTAATCGATGCACGTGCCCTGAAATCCCAAGTTGCTTCTTTATTACCTACAAAATACAGAATATTTATGGCAGTCATATATCAGTAAATACAAGCAAGTACATCACACAGTTTATTAGCACATTAATGCAAACTCTGTAGCTCTTTCCAACAAGTTTACAACACTACAAATTCAAACCAGAGCACTTAATTACCATTAAAAGAATTTTCCGAACATTGCTGCTGTTACCAATTTATTAAAAAACATGAAAGTGCTAGAATTCTACTAACAAGGCAAAACAATTCGTTGGAAGTATTGGTACTGTTTACTTCACAAACTAGATTAGTTGTTTATTTAGTTATCTTCAGTGTGTGTCAAACAAGGCAAACTGAATAGTACCCTTGTTGCATGATAGAGAGCAAAGGACACTGAGCAAAGTTGAAAGGTGACACATTGAAGAATAAATTTTTCTTTCATGCACAGCACGTGAAACATACATTTTTAAGACTTTAACTGGATTTTACAAAAAAAAAAAAAAAAATGAAGAGATAAATTGGACAAGCATTTGAAAAGAAGAACTTCCTAAATAACATTATATCCTAGAGGGAAGTTAGAAATTAGTTTCCAGGATTTTATCAAATAACCAAGACTAGTTAAGAAATAATTTCTGCTATAAAGAAGATCATTTCATATCCTCCTTCTTCAAGAATAGTTTTTTTCCCTTTCACATATCCCTGCAAAACATCTTGAATGTTTGTTGTCAAATAATGGACAAACTGCTATGATACTAAATGGTTTCTTGAAATTTACAGATTCATAAATCATTTAATTATAAAGCTTGGCACACAGCCTTTTATTTAACACAACATAAAACAAGCATAGATCAACAGCATTTATGAATACACCACAAAAACAAACAAACAAACAAAAAGCAACATATGAAAGTCATTACAGTTACTTTGTTTCAGCTTTCTGAAATTTGCTTTTTAGGGAAAGGAATCACAGTTTCAATCTCTCTGCCTTCAGTAAAGATCATGCAATTTACTTCACTGGGTACTAAATCTGACCTTTCAAACACAGAATTCCTCATCACTAACAGTAAAATGGCATTTTTCACCCCATAAAATCAATGTTTAAAAACATGTTCATGCTAACACCT